TTTCCTTTTTTATTTCCTCTTTTGCTCTATCAGATAACCATAGCTTCTGTGTTAGGCCATAGCCATCTTTCTGGGGGCAGGGGTAGGATTACTTTGCCTACCACATAGGCCTAATGGTTTCCCATTGCCTGTGACATCGTATAGAATTTTTTTCAGAAGCTCTTTCCTTTTTGGTTTTATCTGATACAGCCACCTCTGGTAGTCAGCACAGGCACGTCTTTCATATTTAATATGTTTGCATGTATTCCCTCCGTCTCAGAAACTGCTCTTTCTCTGACTTTTCCTTCAAGACTCAGGTCAGACCTCGGCGGCTTTGTTCCTGGGAGAGGTAGATCCTTCTGTTTCCTCAGCGCCACGATTATAACACTTATTACATTAGGGAGATAATTTAGCTCAACATTTGTTTCAGCCACTAGTCTGTGATCCTTTCAAGGACAGAGAACATGTTTTATTCAGTTTTGTGTTTGTCATACCTACTGCAGTCTTGAGCACACAGTGAGCCCTTCCTAAAGGCTGAGTGACTTCATTAATGAACACTTGTTATAGTAGTAATGAAACAGCACCCTTTGAGCTGCAGTCAATCAAGTCCTAAAGTGCGATAAGGACAGGGACTCTAGATTCCTCATCCTTGGTTCAGTCTGGATAAGTACCTGTTCTGAAATCAGAACTGATGTTTTTGGCATGAAGGTTGAGACAGGCTCAGTGATAATGCAGAGGGTGTGTCACTGCTTTGTACCTTTCTCTACATCTATAAAGTGAGGCTGTGAGCCTGGCACCAGCAGACCTGGATGCTATTTCTAAGTGACCTTAACCTCTCTGTGTGTGTTCTTTTCCTTATGTGTAGAAATGGAAGGAGATTCAATTTTCAAACCATTGTTGAGTGCTTAGTCTGTTCCAGGTGCTAGGGAATTTAAAGACAAATTAGAAATGGTCCCTGTCCTGTAGGTATATGTAACTGGTCAGGTTGCCCTTAGGATGTGGTAGGTTTGTTCCAGCTCTGACAGTCTCTGATGCATTTGCCTTTCTCTTCCTTGGAGCATATTTGGGAGGAGAGAGGGTAACTAACTGTAGTCTGTGAGAAACCTACAGAGGTAGTGTTCCTTTGGCCAGGAAGCAAATCTGAGACCTGATTATTGCCTCTTTCTGCTCAATGAGGTGACTGTATTTGCTTCATAAAGCCAACAATACCTAGGAAACGACTTTGCATACCTTTGATTTCATCCTGAGGAAGGAATAACTGAATTTCAAAGCCTAAGATGCTTTGAACATTTATTTAAAGATGGTTTGAACATTTAATCCTAGAGGCCTGCTCTCCTCCTCTTTTTTTTTCTCCCCTTCTGTTACCTCTTCACCTCTTCTTTGCTCCTGCATTGAACCCCCTGCTAGGAAGTGCTAAATGGCAGTATACTTAGTTTCTTTCTTTTTTTTTTTTTTTTAAGCAATTAAAAGAGAAGAGTTTGATATTTCCTGTTATAGAATTTTAAGAGGTAGATTTTGTGTCAAATTAGTACTTAGCACATTACTTTTTGCTGTTTTAAAGCGATTTATTCCCTCGATACAAATGACATACTAATCTCTATGTCATTTCTATTCATGAAGAAGAAACATTTGCACAGTGCTCATTCATCCATGAATGCAGTTTGTAGTTAAACCACATAATGCCTGATGGTACTGTGCTGACAGGCACAGAATAAATAGAACAGATTTTGTTTTCTGAAGATTGATCATTTATAGATCAGTTGATAATTTTTTCTCCAGGTTGCTGCTTAGGTTGATGATGAGAAATTTTTTACTTTTGTAAGAAGCTATGGATTTCAATGAACCTCTGTCAGTACCACAGACCTACCTACTCAATATCACTTTTTATCTTGAACATCTTTTCCAGAAAATATAAGTAATATTGGTCACTCGTTTTAAAATCAATATTGCCAAAAATAGGGTGGGGGCCAAGGTTTTGAGAGAATGGGTTTGTGAGTGACAACTTGTTAGTACAACTCTGTGCTGGCCTTGCAAATTTCTAAGAGAACAGGGAGACTTTTTATGCATATCTAATTTGTGTTTTAATAATACTTTTCATAAGTACTTTTACCAGCTTTTTCTGTTTAAATATTATAGTGTTCTCAAGCATCTTTGCTTCCTCCGCTGTGCCCTGTCTTACTTTGCTTGGTTTTGATGTTTTATGAAATGTATGGTCTGATTTTCATTAGGTTGTTACCATTCTCTCTGATTTTATTGAGAAATCAATTCCTACCATGAGTTAAAAGACTGTATAATTTGGTATGCCTCTTTACATTCCATTTGTTAAGTTTGTTTTATAGAGAATTAGTTTATATGTAATATGCATGAGTGGATGTAAGTTTTAATAACTCAGTCTATAGTGCAGATGAGTTATTTGGTAGGTCCAGAAATAGTTTGAGTGTGGGTCCCACTATTCTCGTTATAATTGTAATATTCGGGGTGTTAAAAAAAACAGATATGTTCTATTAATTACTCAGACCACAGGACTTGACTTGATTTATTTGGTTTGATAGGCTTCCCAAATTTTATAGTGAGCTCCAACATAAGCATATTAAGTGAAACAAATATTGTTATAGTAACATAATTTAAAATTATTTTGGTATAAGGCAGTTTTAGGAATATTTTCCACAGTGATTGAAGGAGATAGCAGTATGAATAATCCTAAATCATATTAGCTTTAGAATACCTTTCTGGATATACTTGGTATATAGAGATTGTTAAAAATTTACTTCAAACAAAATACTGGAGTCCACCTGTGGTGTACTAACACAGGGGGGCCTGATGAACAGATTCTGTCCACATATCTCAGTGTCAGCCCAAGTAACACTCTAAAATTATCTTTTTTTTTTTTTTTTTTTTTTAAGATCTTATCCATTTAGGGGGAGAGAGAGAAGGGGAAGGGGCAGAGGGAGAGAGTATCTCAAGCAGACTCCACACAGAGCCTGACACAGGGCTCGATCTCACAACCCTGAGATGCTGATCTGCGCTGAAATCAAGATTTGGATGCTTAACTGACTGAGCCACCCAGGCACCACTCTCAAATTACTCTTTATGTGTTTGATTTCAAGCTTCCCTGCTTCATTTGAAATAAGAATAAATATGGAATAGGATGTCAACAAGGTAAACAGTTGAGTGGATGCTGTAGGTGTTTCCATGAAACATGAAAGTGAGATTTGAAATGCCTTCAGGTAACCTGTGTGTTGCTGATAGTGGAAAGTAAACTCATCACTTTTGAAGTAGCATCCTGGTTTCAAAACACTGACTTCTATTTAAGTTGTTTTTCTCACCTTCACTATAATAGTGATCTTTAGACTTCTCCTTTATAGGAGAGAATCAGTGTGTTTATTGCTTGACTTCTTGAATTAGTTACTCCCTGGCTTTCACAGGACAGGGAAGAGATGAGTAAAATAGTTGACAAGAGTCTGCCAATCTAAACGGCAAATTGCATTTTTTTGGGGGGGGGGTTAGGGGGCTCAGATTCTGAACGTTGATATAGGTAAGTAAGCTATATCCACAAGCGTACAAATGAAGATCAATTTTTTTAAAGAATATTTTTTTGCATTTAAAAATATTTGGTTTTTATTGTCATGGGAAATGTTCTATCGTGTCTTAAGAAAATGGTATTATATCCTGGTATGTGACTTAAAACATGTTCTTCATATTTAAGAACTGCTTTTAATTATTGGATGAAATTTTGCCCTTAAAGTTCCATTTTTCAAAGGTTACACACAAAATCATACATATGGATACATACACAAAGAAATAAACAGTTGTATATCCTATCTTTTCCTTCCTCCCTCTTTTTTGGAGACGGAATATATTCTTTATTGTTCAGGGCTTTCTAAATCACTACTGAAAAAATGTATTAATATCCATTAAGGTAGTTGTCTATAATCAGGGTGCGCTATTGAATATTGGCAGTGATGTTCTAGTTATATTACAGTACTGTTATACCAATGGGTTTATGGAAAGAGGTGGCTTGGTCAAGATGAATATATTCATTTAAAAATAACGATGAAGCTCTTTTTTAAAAAACAATTGAACTTTGAAACTTGGGAAGTTAACATTTGTAGAATGCATGACAGTGGTTTGAGAAATTTTCCTAAGATCTCTCTTGAGATAACTTGATGAATTTTTTTCAGCAACCTTTTTGTAGATCTGAGTCTTCCCTCTTTTCTTTTTAATTTAAAAAAAAATTAAGATTTTTTTATTTGTCAGAGCGCGTGTGTGCAAAAGCAGGGGGAGAGATTGGCAGAGGGAGAAGCTGACTCCCTGCTGAGCAAGGAGCCTAATGTGGGCCTTGATCCCAGGACTCCGGGATCAAGACTTGAGCCGAAGGCAGACGCTTCACTGACTGAGCCACCCAGGTGTCCCTGCGTTTTCCCTCTTTAAATCTTGCCTGATTTCTGCTCTTAGGAAAATTCTCAAGTGAGGCTTATCCAGTGGTGTGCTGGTAAATGTTTAACAGCCAGCTTTCTGGGTGGGGGGAGATGCTCTCATTGGCAGCATTTGGTGATTTCTGTGGTGTAGTATTTACAACACGGCAGACTTACACGATGTCGCTGGACACAGAACGGAAGCGATGGGCACAGTCAGCTCTCATCACTACTCCTCCTTTCACAAGATGAATCGATTGATTTTGCACCTGGTGTTAGTCTTGTATTTATGATTAGAACATAACAAGGGCAGGGGCGCCTGGGTGGCGCAGTCGGTTAAGCGTCTGCCTTTGACTCAGGTCATGATCCCGGGGTACTGGGATCAAGCCCTGCATCGGGCTCCCTGCTCCGCGGGGAGTCTGCTTCTCCCTCTCCCTCTGTCTGCCACTCTGCCTACTTGTGCTCTCTCTCTCTGTTAAATAAATAAAAACAAAAAGAAAAACAAGGGTAAAATATTTGTGATTATATAGCATTATTGTGATATTCCAAACTAGAATACTGACGATGTATAATTGCTTTTTTTTTTTTTTTTTTCCTGTTTATCAGTTGGGTGGAGAGCTTTGGACTCGAGGGGCTTGGATTATTACTGGACATTTTGGAAAGACTGATTAGTGGCAAAATGTAAGTATATTGATTTTATTTTCAGTTAAGCTACATTTGTGTGTCCAATTATAATTCCAATACTGATTTGTTTTATGCCGATGCAGACAAGAAAAAATTGTAAAGAAGAATCAGCATAAAGTCATACAGTGTCTAAAGGCTTTGATGAATACACAGGTAATTATATTTGTTCTTCACCAGTTCTTAGAGAATTTTTATGAAATAGTTGTATATTACAGAATTTGAACTAAAGAGATGTACTGCTTTGATAAGCTGTTGAGTACATAAAGGAAAAAATACTGAATTGCATTGATACCTAATTTCGTATCAAATCAACCACCTCTCAACAGGAGAAACTTGGGAATTGAATGGATCCTTGTCCTGATGCTTAAGTTGTCATGTGCACATTAATCCTCCCTTTCTACTCTATTTTTGGTCCCCTCTCTCTTCTTCCCTTCTTAAAGTATAGCACGAATAAGTTTTGAAATCATACATGATAATTAAATGTGGTCTGCAGTAATACTTATTACCAAAGAATCACGTTGGAAAGACAGTTTTGATAGTCGAGGAACTTAAATCTGCAATGAAATTAACATGAACCGATAGGAAACAGCTCCCAGAAGTGGAGTGGTGATGCTTAATGTAAGTAATATTGAGACCAAAGGTAATAGGGCGGGTCTGCAGAGCTTGCATATTTGAAGAGGATATGTTAGAAGAGAGGAATACTTGAAGCTCCTAACTGAAGTTAGATGTATCTGACAGTGTTTCCTTCTTAAACAGAATTTGTACTGTTAATTGCAGAAATTAGCTCTATCCCATACTATGTCTTTAGCTTCAACATCTAAACATATCTGCCTCATGATCGGTGCAGTAATGATAGGTGTTTTAGTTGCCATTAGACAGCAGGAGAGGAATTTACCTGTGGTGTTAGGGTGATTTGTGTTTTAGAGCAAAGCTGTATATTTCTGATGAATTTTAATTTTTAATATTTTTACATTTTGAAAATAAGCCTTTAGAGGACTACACACTTAAGTACTGGTACTTAAATTAACATATTTCTTTTTACTAAATATAGCAAAAACTTGTATTTTCTGATTATTTTTGTCTTATTTTTCAGCATTTTGTTGAGCTGAGTTTTGTTTTTAACCAATGAAATGTTTTACCTCCCTGCCTTCTCTAATCAGATAAGATTTTCAAGGAGACTATCTGATGTAGAAATCCACTCTATGTTGTTATATATTCAAATATATTCTAGATTTGAACTCGTTCTGTAAGAATGAGATTTTAGGTATCACGAATGATCTTGTGAATCATTGTTTGAATTTGAGAATACCATAATTTAAGTGAGGTGAGGTGGTATATAGAGGATAATATTCCTGCTTGGTTTGAAACTGAATTGGAGAGCAAGTAAACTTTATATATTTAGGTTCTAATTGATGTAGTGTGTTCTCTTAGACTGCTTTTGCTTATAGTTTGTATCTGTAGAGCTAGAATATATTGTCATTTGTGTTGATTGCTATCACCAGTGCTAGTACAAATAAAAAGTTGCTGATACTTGGAATGAGTATTATAATGTCTGAATTCTAAAATTAATGATATATAAACTAATTTTTCAGTAAAGACTCCCCCCACCATTGGTTGATGATTTTTCATTTATCTCACTTTGCAGTATTTATAGGAGTGCATTGAATGATGAAAAAATACAAGTTTTAAGAGAACAGTGGCACCTTATTAGGTACTAGTATGTAGTTATATAAGGAGCAAATCTGGTAGTAGGTGAAAGTGAATTGCATAATATGGACTAAAGAATTTCTAAATGGAAGAAGACTTTGAATATTAGTGGGAAACAAAAGGATGAGGAGTTAAATATATTTGAATTAAAAGAGAATTTAAAACAAGGGCTTCATTTTGGTCAGTTAACTTTTTGTGTTGCTTTAAGGTGTGCACCCGCAGCAAAGGTGCTCTGCTCCTGAAGCCAGTCCCCTTACCAGTACCAGTTGTTCTCTTTGCTCCTGGGATTAACTCACCATAAGGAGTTATTCAGCATCAGTATTCATGTCTTGTTGAGCATCCTACATGGGGATTTAGGGTCTTCCCCTTTTCCCACCTAACACTTTCACAGTGGCTTAAAATTCCGTCTGTTAGGTCATAATAGGTCTCAATAGAACGCAAATGGAACCTGGCTTTAGTCTTCGGTTTAGAACATGTGAGTTTTCATATAAACCAGGGTGGGTCCTTGACATTCAGTAGAGAGACATCCTTAGACCTTCCAAAATTTGTCACTGCCTCTAACCTTATAATAGGCTTCATTTAATGCACTTTAGATGCTAGCACTGGTAAGTTGATTATTTCTCTCGGAGTCAACAGTTTTTGGTTTTGCTTTTTTTTAAATAACTGAGCAAGAGTAATTTTATTCAAGCAGGCAGCAATTCTGTCTGTAGTTCTAGGTACTCAGTAGTGGTAAGCTGGCCTCATTCCAGCCTTAAAATGAGCACTACATGTGTTAATGTTAGCAAAGTCAGAATACTGCCGATGATGGAGCTTTTGGAGGTTAGGGGGTGCTAGTCAAAACTATGAAATCTGAGAATGCTCATATTCTGCTCTCCCCATGTTAATGGGTTAGAGCTGGAGGGCTTCCAGAGAAGGTAGGTAGTATCACCTGGAGGAAATCGGTGTGTCTTGCCTTGAGTGGTTGGAAGAGCCACAGGATTCTGATGCCGGAGGAGCAAGCGTTGGTTAAGGATGTCGGGTGGGTGGGAAATGAAGGGGGAAGTGCTTTACTTGGTCGTCAGGTTTCTTAGGACAGAGCCCGCCCTTTGGTACTTCATAATCATTGATTGATTGACTCTTTGAATTGGATCTAAGTGGTACTTTATAAGCTTCTGACAATTCCTTGGAATAATTATTAAAGAATATTGTGGTCCTTGGCCCCATACCTGCTTTTTCTTTCTTTGTTTCCAGTTATGGGACAGCCCAGGGCATCACAAAAGTGATCATTTCCTGGCTGGTTTCGCTATTTGTAAACTTTTCCCTATCACCAGAAGAGGGAGAAGTCTCTCCAGAAAGCGTATCCTGGGGCCCTTGGCCCTCCTGCCTGTGCTTCTTCCTTTGTACCTCTGTTCCTTAGATAGAGGTTTAAAGCAAATGCGGTATTTCAGCACAGTGTAATGGCTTCTTTCTATAGATGGCATCGGCGAGATAGGAAAATTATAAGATTTCATACTACTCACAGCATTTGGGTCTAAGCTTGTTATAGATTTAACTTTGATACTTACATCTAGTGTTAATTTTGAGTTAAGCCATAGTTCATAGGTCTGTAATTGGGATTAAGGTCCTTTTTTGTGCTCAGTAGTAATTCTAATCAACCAATTTCTCACTCCTTAGAGGGATCCTCTGGGATGTGTGGAAGATAAATCGTATCGTTTTATTGCTTCTATTTATCCTCTGTTATTTGATACTTATCTTCCATAGATTGTAAGTGGGCCCTAAGAGATGTATAATCCTTAAATCAAAACACGAAGTCATTAACATGACTCCTTATCTTCTAATTGGATGTGACATCCTAGCAGTAGCAAACAAACTTTATCCTTATCCAGCATCGTCCCATTTATATAATGTATTTACAACTGCATTATCTTTCTGATGATAAAATATTCTGATTAGAATACCTAGGCTCCTCATGGCAGTTTCTACATGGTATGTGCCTAAATCATCTTTCAACTTGTGCCCATCAGAGGAACTCTGTGTTAGTCTCTAGGTCTGCACTGTGTTATGTGCTTGCCCTATGTGGGTGTCAAGCACCTGAAGTGTGGCTTGTCTGAATGCAGATGTGGTGTACATAGAAAATAGACACTGGATTTTGAATACTTAGGAAGGAAAAAAAAAGGTAAACTAGTTCATGAACAGATGTTTTATATTGATTATGTTGAAACGATCGTATTTTAGATATATTGGATTAATTTCATTAAAATTTTACTTTTTGCTTGGGAACTTGATATTGCACCTGTGGTTCTCATTCTGTTTCTGTGGGATAGAGTTGATCTGTATGTTTGCTTGTGATAGTGTATCCTTTACCCATCTTCCTTTCCTGGAAAGCTGCTCACCCTCAGCATCTGATTGAAAAATGGACTGTTCATTTTGTGTGTTCTTGTTGGGAAATCTCAATTTTCCTCACTGCTTCTCCCTTTCTCCAGGTGGTTACTTATCTACCTTAATAATTATTGGTCCTACCGTTGTAAAATCACCTTTGAGAAGTTCTTTATATTTGGTTGACTCTCCTACTTCTTGATGTGAATACTGCTATAATTTTTATTTAAAAAAATTTTTTTAAGGATGTTAGATATTCCTTATATTTTCTGGCTTTTACTAAGTGTAAAAATATATTATCAACTTTTTAAATAATTATGTTTCCTTTAGGGTGCTGTTTTTTCCAATAAATGGCTATCATTTAACCTCTTATTTCCAAAATGTTACAGTACGGCTTGGAAAGAATTATGAGTGAAGAGAGGAGTCTTTCTTTATTAGCCAAAGCCATCGATCCCGAGCACCCAAGTATGATGACAGATGTGGTGAAACTCCTGTCTGCGGTATGCATTGTAGGAGAAGAAAGCATGTAAGTCTTCCCAACTCATTTCTCTAATTATGTAACAGTATAATTTGATTTACTTAATGTTCCCATTCTATTTTAGACTGGAATTTACTGTTAATAAGTAAATACTACTTAAGCAGCTGATTTAGATTCATAATTGGCCAAACAGAAATGTTTGAGTAATAATGATTTCTCAGTCAATATAATAGTTACAGGCTAATATGTTTCTATGAAAAACTGATTTCTTCGTCATATTTATTTTAAACTGTTCTGAATTCAAACCCTAAATAAAAATTCTCAATGAAGACTTAAAAAAAATACAAATGGATTCTGTTTCTTATGTATTTTTGTTTTTCAGATAGTTAATTCAAACTCATATTCCCTTATAAAATCATCCATCATACTATTTGGAAATCTCTTTGTAAGGCAGATTTGAAAAGTGTTATATGAAATAGTAGTACTTTACTGGTTAAAGGTACATAGTCTTTGGCCATAATGTACATCCTGAAGTTTTAAACTTTAAAGACATTATCCGCAAATGTTAGGGTTATAACTAAAAGACCATTACATACATATTAAAAGATAATTATAAAGATAAACCTTTTTTTTTTCTTTAAAGGCTGGGGTACTTATTACAGGAAGCATTTAAAAATTAATTAAAATGCCTTTTTAAAAGGCTAACGATAAGGGCACTTGTGATGAGCACTGGGTGTTACATGTAAGCGATGAATCACTAAATTCTCCTGAAACCGATATTACGCTATATGTTAACTAATAGAATTTAAATAAAAACTTAAAAAACAAAAGGATAAAGATAGAAGAAACGGAACTAATAGAACAAAGAGAAATAGCCCTTTCTTATAGGCTAGGCAGAAGCCTGTGAGCTAAAGCTCCCGCACTCGTTTGAAAATTGCCCTTGTGGTGACCCCGCGGGCGCTGAGAGTGTCGTGCCCGGTGTGGACTCGCTGGAGAGTCTGCAGGCGCTCCTCCGGCCTTGCCCTCCGGCTGCACAGCTGCAGCGCGCACGCACATCCGCGGACGAGGCCGCCGGCCCCCGCGCCCCCCCCCCCCCCCCCGCGGCCCCGGTGCGCAAAGCCAGGCTCAGGGTTTCAGCACGCGCTCTCCCATTTTCAAAAGACCCTATTCATTTTATTGCAGAGTTCATTTAATGATGACACATAGGGTGCTCCTTGTGCTCCCCCTGCGCCTTTCTCCCTCTCCTCCCCCCTCTTTCCCCTCCCATTTGTTTCTTTTTTCCCCTCTTCCTCCCTTACCACCCTCTCCTTTCCCTCTTCTTTATCCTCTCTTTTTCCTTCTCTTTTTTCCCCCACCTTCTTCCTCCTCCACTTCCCTATTTATTATTTCTTGACTTCATCATAGGTTATCAAAATGATGTGGATAGTGTTCACGGACTACGTGTCTGTGTCTGTGAAGGGAGTTTCTACAACATGCTAGGTCGTGTGAACACACTGTCCTTTAAAGGAGTAGCAAGTGTAGTTCTTGTGTAACTATTACTTTTTATGTTTGACTATAAATCCTTTGGCTACCAGACTTCATTATACTCAAAAGGAAGGAGAGTGGTTAAGAACGCGAGACGGGGCTTACCACACAGACTGGTTTCAGAACCTTGTTCCCTTTAGGAGATGTGAGGCCTCAGACAAATTGCTTAACTTGTCTTCCCCCTCTGTTTCCTAATCTATAATAAGGGATAATAAAACCTACTTCGTAGAACTATATACATTAAAAAGAGTTAATATTTGTAAACTGGTTTAAATAGTGCCTGATGTGTAGAAAGCACTTTATAAGTGTTCGATAAATAACCCTCATCATAAAGTTATTAGGAATAAATGAATAAAAACATGTAGCTAGTACTTGATAAATGCTATGTACTTAGCTTTTAAAATGTTGCTGCTTGCTTAGGAGTGTAGTGATCCTGGAGCTGTGTAGATCAAGCGGTTGTCTTAAGGCATTGGGATTATTTGCTGTTTGCAATTTAATTAATTTCAAAATTTCTGATAGCCTTGAAGAGGTTTTAGAAGCTTTAACATCAGCTGGAGAAGAAAGAAAAATTGACAGATTTTCACCTATTGTGGAAGGTCTCCGACACGATTCAGTTCAATTGCAAGTAGGTTTCATGTATAACCCTACATACTGTTTTGTAACTGCTCACTGGCTTATATTCAAGTATGAAACCCTGCATGTTATCTAATATTTTATAATATTTCAAATAATGTAGAGAATTCTAATAATGTATCTTACAGATGTAACTTGGCGTATACCTATTATTATTTCCTTAGGTTTCTTTCCTAGAAACTGACTTACTAGAGATCCCTGTAAAATATATATAATTATAGTCCATAAATTGTTTATTCTTGGTTAGTCTCATTAGTTGATTACTACAAATTTTATTTTATTTTTTTAAAGATTTTATTTGTTTATTTGACAGAGAGAGACAGTAAGAGAGGGAACACAAGCAGGGGGAGTGGGAGAGGGAGAAGCAGGCTTCCCGCGGAGCAGGGAGCCTGATGTGGGGCTTTATCCCAGGATCCTGGGACCATAACCTGAGCCGAAGGCAGACGCTTAACGACTGAGCCACCCAGTAATCACCCTGATTACTACAAATTTTAAGAAGTTTGGGCAGTTAAGTGAATTATGGCTTTTCATTGATTTATTAGTTTTTATATTGGAAAAGTTAAAACTTTCCATAAATACTAATGAGACCAAGGTACACTAAGATTTTCAAAGATATTTAAATATTTAAGTGCTCCTAGAAAGTCACTTTTAGACTTAACCATTATAGTGTGCAAGCTGCATAACTAATATTCATTTAATTTCTCCCTTTTTTTAAAGAGTTTTTTTTATTGCTAGAATTATTGTTACAATTATTGCTGATAACCTGAGTATCTTTAAGGAAATAATTGATAACTGACCCCCACCTCCCAGTACTTTTAAAATTTAATTGGTGTGACCTGGCTGTTGGGATTTTTAAAGATTCTGAGATGATTCTAATGTGCAGCAATATTTGAAAACCAAGATGTACTAATAGCTATAAAATAAAATTATTTCACACTTAATTAGTAAAAACTTACAGTTTTAAATTTTATTTTAAAGCTCTGTAGCTTGGGGGGAGCCTGGGTGGCTCAGTCGTTAAGCGTCTGCCTTCGGCTCAGGTCATGATCCCAGGGTCCTGGGATCGAGCCCCGCATCGGGCTCCCTGCTCCGTGGGAAGCCTGCTTCTCCGTCTCCCACTCCCCCTGCTTCTGTTCCCTCTCTCGCTGTGTCTCTCTGTCAAATAAATAAATAAAATCTTAAAAAAAAAAATTAAAAAAAGCTCTGTAGCTTGGCCTTTGTATTGTTTCTCATCGTGGTAGGAATAGAAAAACCAAATCTCCATGTTAAATTAAAAAGAAAAGAAAAGATGGTATTTGATGAACAGTCAGAAAATCTTAGGGTTGGTCAAATGAATAAATTTAGTGTGGCATTTCTGATGATGGTATTTGAGATGGTGACCTTCCTGATAGTGTTTGTGAATGGCTAGTGAGGAACCCTGTTTATGATTTGTTTCTCTGGGCAGGAGGCAGGCCTGGAGATTGGAGTGTATGGTCCCTATTGCATAGGTCCCATTATCAGAGCTTCTGGAAAAAAGCTCCTTCTGACTCATCGGGGCTTGTCAGAGAGGCTGGGAATGGGGGCCTGGGATGTGTTGTCCACCTCTGATGTGGACCTTGCTCCTTCAGTTTTTTGATGTGTGCTCTGGATTCTTTTTATCATACACCATTGCTCTCATTTCCCTTCTCCTTTCTCATCTGGCTCCAGAGCTCCTATTTACCACAAGCCTAAAAATGAACAGTAAACTGAGAAGAAACTTTGTAGAGAAAAACTGAACACTTACTTTATCTGAATTTTCCTTTGCTACCCAGGTTACCTTTTACTCATAGTATTTGTGCAAATAGCCTAGGTTATCAGATTAATTTTGGTCATTTGTGTAGCGTATTAGAGTTCATGTCCGATTCTTAAAATTTCACTTAGGAAATATAGTCACATGTAAACTTCATCCCCTAAATACTTCTTATGCTAATGTATACTTTTTAAAAAAGCTTTTATATATCTGAGAGTGAGAGAAAGCAAGTATGAACGGGGGATGGGAAATGAAGGGGTGGAGGGGCTGAGGGGCAGGGGGAGAGGGAGAAGCAGACTTCCCGCGGAGCAGGGAGCCTGATGCGGGGCTCGATCCCAGAACCCTGGGATCATGACCTGAGCCGAAGGCAGACACTGAGCCACCCAGGCGCCCCCTACTAATGTGTACTTTTTGATCTAATAACACACATGTCCCTAGAGTGGGAGGGGTGGTGTCTTGTGATAGAAGGAGTAGACTTGTGAGTCAAGCAGCTTGAATTTAAGCCCCAGCCCTTGGCATCCTGGCTCTGTGACTCTGGATCATGCCCCAGACCACTTCTATGCTTCAGTTCCCTCACTTGTAGGAGAAGGATAATATTTATCGCTACCTCATTGTTGATGTGGGGTTACATAGATGAATGTATTTAAAATGCTTAGCTTATTTGCCATAAACGTTGAGTAAATGCTAGCCTTAGAAAGTAATTTTGTTAAACTAAAACCAAAGTCAGTGGAGAATGGGGATTGAAGGGGATCTTCCTTTTTCAAAAACCTTAGCTGTGTTGATATTAAAATTGTTACATAACTACAACTCAGCAGTTATACTCGTGAACATAACCCAGATGAGAGAAACACAGGTTCATACACAAACCCATACACATGTTGTTATAGCAGCTTTATTTGTCATAGGCTCAAATTGGGAACAATCCAGATGCTCTTCAATAGATGAATGGTTAAACTGTGGACACCCATACCACGGAGTACTTAGTATTGAAAAAGAATGAACTATTGATACATAACAACAACTTACATGAATCTCCAGGGAATTACCTTGATTGAAAAATGCCAGTCCTAAAGGGTTACAAACTGGATGATTCCATTTATTTAGTAGCCTTGAAAGAACCAAATTTTAGAGATGGAGAACGGTTTAGTGGTTGCCAAAGATTTAGGATAGCGTCTGGGAAAGTGTTAGGTGTGGCCATAAGTAAATGGCAGCAGAGGGTTGTGTGTGGTGAAACCGTTCTGTGTCTTGATTGTGGTGATGGTGGCGAATCCATACATACAATGAAATTGCATAGGACCCTACTTGGACACAAAAATGAGTGTAAGGCTGCTGAAATCTGAATAAGCTCTGTGGATTGTACCAATTTCAATTTCCTGGTTTTAGTGTTACGTTATAATTGTGCAAGATGTTACCATGGGGCAGAATTGTGCCAAGAGTACTTGGGACCTACCTGTACGTTTTTCCTTTTTGCAACTTTCTGTATATCTACAATTATCTAAGAATAAAGTGTTAAAAGAAAAATCCTGGTAAAAGTGGGGTCCCAATTTGTTTACAGCAGTATTATGGTCACTTAACATTTTAAAGCTGTGAGGAAAAGGGTTAAGAATGTCTTGTTAAGAACAAAGCCATGTTTCATCTAGGTAAATAATACGATTGACTCATTAATTGAAAGGTGACTATTACAACCTTAAAATTCTTGGTAACTTGCATATTAAATTTTTTTTTGGCTATCAAACATTGAGGTAAACCTGTCTAATCTTGTAGAATTATAATTGATTACCATATGAACCTGAAGGCAACTACACGTATCAAAAATATTCCTGGATATGTTTAGTCATTTCTATTGTGGGCAGTTACTCTCAGTTTATTGAAGGTGCTACCATATGGAAAATAGATATCTATAAAATTCTCTGAAAGAGAATGGCCAGTTAAAAATTGAGAATGGATTATCAGTTTATAGAAGACACTAAGACTTGAAGAAATTAAAATATAAAGATTTGATGTAACTTTGAAAGGATTCCTTTTTTTCAGTTTTATTGAGATAAAATTCACATATCATAAAAGTTACCCATGGAAAGTGGACAGTTCAGTATTTTTGTATAATCAGAGTTGTGCAATCTTCTCCATAATCAAGAATGTTCTCATTACCCATAAGAGAATCTCCTTACCCCCTCTCCCAACCCCTTCACCATCACCTTGTATTACCCTCATTCCCTCTAGCTCTAGACATGATCTACTGTCTCTATAGATTTTCATATTCTGGATTTTTGATAAAAATCATACAGTATATGTGGTATTTTCTGACTGTACTCTCAATATTTTCAGTGTTCATTCATGTTGAAATACGTATCACAACTTCATTTTTCTCCCCCTCCAAATATTAGGCTATTCTATGGATATTCCACATTGTTTATCAGTTGTCTGTTGTGGAAATGTGGGTGTCTAATTTTTGACTTTTATGGATAATGCTACCTGTGAATATTGATGGAGATGATTTCTTTTCTTAATGACTGCTTGTTTGCCATGTTTAGTCTTAAGGAACAAGGGTGGGGGCACGGCTAGCCAGCAACATCTCCGTTGGATAGTTGTTGAAGTCAACCATTTGACTCAATTCTTGAAAAATTGACATAGGTGGCTGATTACATTTGCTCTTATGAAACTAATTGCCTTAGTTGTGAGTAATTATATTTTCTTTTACGGTTCTTTTTTGAAACACTAAAATTTCTTGATACAGTATTTAAAGTTTAATTTTTATTGAGAGCAGAGAATGATGAAATTCAGCTTTGCCACTGTGTCATTTTCAACAGTGTAGGGCTCTTTCTTCTCTTGCTAGAAAGCAGTTCCTCTTAACCAGTCACTGTTACCCTTTAATACCGTATTCTTGCTTAGAGCTCCAGATTCGTCCTGATACTCCTGCCCCCCATTCTGTCCCCCCAGTCAGACACAGAGATTTTTTAATGTTTCATGCCCTCTCTCTTACGCTGATTTTTACGTGTAGTATTCTCTCTACTAAGAACACCTTTTTCCCCCCTAATGTGCCTGCCTCGATAATCTCATACCATTAGGGAACCCTTCACAGATACTTCCTCTCTGTGTTGGTTTGCTAGGGCTGCTATAACAAAGTACCACAGACTGGGCAGCTCAAATGAACTGAAAGTTCATTTTAGCAGTTTTTTTTTCATTTTTTTAGTAAGTTCAGATTAAATTTCTATACTCTCGATTATGAA